GTCAAGGGCAATAACTCAAAAAATGTCATCAAAAATATCTCTTGTTAGAACTTGTCCGAGATCTTATCATTTCCAATGATCACACCAAGTTTCATCAAAATCGGTTGAAAACTGTAGCTTCTATTGTGCTCACAAACAAATTTTGACGCGTATTTCGTAAGATAATGGCAATAACTTAAAAACATTTCATCGAAAATGCGTCAAGTTAGAATTTGTCAATTTCAATGATCACACCAAGTTTCATCAGAATCGGTTGAAAACTGTAGCTTCTATTGTGCTCACAAACAAATTTTGACGCGTATTTCGTAAGATAATGGCAATAACTCAAAAACATTTCATCGAAAATGCGTCAAGTTAGAACTTGTCAATTTCAATGATCACACCAAGTTTCATCAAAATCGGTTGAAAACTGTAGCTTCTATTGTGCTCACAAACAAATTTTGACGCGTATTTCGTAAGATAATGGCAATAACTCAAAAACATTTCATCGAAAATGCGTCAAGTTAGAACTTGTCAATTTCAATGATCACACCAAGTTTCATCAGAATCGGTTGAAAACTGTTGCTTCTATTGTGCTCACGAACAAATTTTGACGCGTTTTTACAATGTCAAGGGCAATAACTCAAAAACCGTTCATCAAAAATGCATCAAGTTAGAACTTGTCCGAGATCTTATCAATTCCAATGATCACAGCAAGTTTTATCAAAATCAGATAAAAACTGTAGTCTCTATAGTGCTCACAAGAAGTGTTGACGGACGAACCGACGGACAGGGGGGACGACAATATTCATGTGGGCGTATATAAAAATCAAAGAATATATTATAATTTCTTGAATTTTCCAAGATTTGGATTTTTAATCAGACTTATATAAACTGCATTTTTATATGCCACATGGAAATGTGGAACGTATATTGCCGTCGCCCCTGTTTGTCGGTCCGTCTCTACAGTTTTTATCCGATCTTAATGAAACTTGGTATTCATGTATATATTGATGATATCTCGGTCAAGTTCGAAATTGGTAATAATCGGATGAACGGTTTCAGAGTTATTGCCCTTGACTTAGTAAAAACAAGTCAAATTTGCCTTGTAGGCACGATAGTGACTACAGATTCATCCGATCTTGATGAAACTTGGTATGCATCTATATATTAATGAGACCAAGCGTATAAAAATGCAGTTTATATAAGGAAAGTCTGATTAAAAATCCAAATCTTGGAAAATTCAAGAAATTATAATATGTACACATCTATTATACGTACACGTGAAAATGTGGTCAATCTGTCCATTCACATTTCTTGAAGGCACATTTTAGGATACAATTTTGATCTAATTTGATGGAGCTTGGTATGAGTTTACATATTGATGCAACTCGTGCTCACACTACATGCAACAATTCATTATGGATACCTTTTTGCTTTTTATACGCACACATGAAGTGAAATGAAATGCTCATAAACACTCTAGACAGTGCAATTCTTGACGGATTTTGATGAAACTTGGTGTGTGTGTTTGCTATCACACAAGGATGAACCATTTTGAAAATCAAAAAAATCAAAAAATTATTAGTATGAGTGTCCTTGATCTTGAAAACGCGTTCAATTTAAGCTTGTAAACACTCTAGGAGGTTCAATTATTGACGGATTGTGACGAAACCTGGTGTAAATGTTTGTTATCACCAAAGCATGAACCCCATCAAAAATAAGAAAAATCAAAGAATATCTTGTTCTTGAAAACGCGTTCAATTTTTTGTTTGTAAATTCTCCAGAAGGCACAATTCTTGACTGATCTACATGAAACTTGGTGTGAGTGTTTATCACCCAAGGATAAACCCTATTGAGTATCAGTAAAAGTGAAAAATATTTAGTATGAGTTATTGCCCTTGTTCTTAAAAACACGATCAACTTTTAGTCTAAAAACACTCTAGAAGGCCCAATTCTTGACAGATTTTGATGAAACTTGGTAATATTATTCAGTATCACCTCAAAAAATTCAAAAGAAGTACAGTGGTGTAACCTTTTTTTCGTGCATATAGGGATTCAACACCAAATTACGTCAAAGTTAAAAAAAAACAGAAATTTTTTTTTTATGTCTGAGAAGTTTCCTCAGATATTCTATAAAATAATTAAAATTGGTTTGTTTTGATTTTCTTGATGAATCCCTCACTTTGACTCATATTTCATAAGTAACCAATTCGACAACAGCGGCAAAATGTGTCACCTATTTTCGTGTACAATGTTTGATCTATAAATAAGTCAAGAAAAACACGTTGTATGGATACCCAGTGGTATAATTCTCTTAGTGTTTATCTTTAATATCAATTCATTATAACTAGTGACAATTCCTTCAAAGAATAATGATTAGAAAAAAAAATAGTGACTGACAAAATAAGATACGCACTAACGTAGCCTGATTTATTGCTAAAAGTCATTGAAACAACATATGAATATGGCCCACATTGTGTTCCATAGAATTTTCTGATGACACGGAATTCGCTAGTTGATCATGTGACTTCATTAGTTGGACTACATTCTGGCAGACGACACTTGGAATTCCAATTACAGCTTGGGATTATAAGAAAATTTAGCGGATAAAAAATTGTGACATTTGTAATCCGCTATTGTGTTTATGTATACAATAATACATTTTACCTTGCTTAAACCTACTGGCTTCATTCTACTAGCTGACATTGTGCAAATAACCCAAGTCTATCAAAACAAGCAAATGCGGAGGTCAAGTGAGGTCGCACATGTAAACTATTAATCATTTCCGGAGATGCATGAAAAATAGGTTAGCACGAAATTAGGTTACTTGACTGTATATGACTGAAGGTTGAATTTTTCATACTGGTAATTGTTACTTTACTGCCAAATATAATTATTTAAAATCAAAGTTACCAGTGGTCGTATATTACCTTGTCTGGCAAGCTATCTTTAAAGTTTGGTTCTCTTATTTTCATTTATTTATAGATATATTTCATTATTGCACAGCTAATACTTATATAAATCGAAAGCAGAGTTGTTCTAATGAATTGGAAAAATACCAGTTTGTCTCAGAAGTCAATAATTAACTCGTAATTAGCTAATTACGAATAGATTCCAATGATCAAGCAGTCACTTAATAAAGATTATCAGGTCTCACAATTTCCTATGTGTGCTTTTTCACAGCCAAATACCAACCTAAAATTTTAATTTCAATGGTTATGTTTACAAAATAGGGAAAATGACAATGTTTTTTTCATTTTCTAAATACACAGTATATTATTTCTAACTTACAAATATATGTCTTTTAAACATAGTTTGGCTAATATTTTTTTATACGAAATGTGACTAGATTATTACAATCTATTTTAGTCAGTGAGTAAACAAGGAATCTATTTAATCAGATTTCAGTAAATTTGATCCCCAAGCTTTTCTACATCCTCACACAGTCTTAGCACTCAAGAATACTTGATTTATTCATTAGAAACATCAAAAAACAATAAGCATGATTTGACCAAGAAAAATAAGCAAAAGCAACTTTAAAATATCTGACGATTTACCTTTGAAAGTACACTTTCTTTCAACAAAATTTAACATTTAAAGACTCATTGCTGATATAGGTTAGTGAATTTAAAATGTTGACGAGAGGACACTTGTTGGGTAAAATGTATGTTCAAATGGGATTTATTGG